TAGCTCGGACTACAGGTACCCGCCACAACACCTGGCTATTTTTTGTTGTTGTTATTGCAGTTGTCATTGTTGTTTTAGCAGGATCGGGGCTGGGTTCAAACCCATCAGCCTCGGTGTATGTGGCTGGTGCCCTACCCACTGAACTACGGGTGCTGCTCTATTTTCAGGAATTTTTAATCTATCTTACATTTAAAAAATATATATTTTAAAAATACAGTTGAACCTCCATAGTTGACTACATCCCTACCTTGACCACCTCTTTAATTGGACCTAATTTTCATAGAACAGGTGTGCACCACATGTACTAAGACCTAGTTCCTTATGTTGACCACTCCGTATGTTGTCCAGTTTGTTGCAGTCCTTTCAGTGATTGACTTACAGAGGTTTTACACTGTGTATTTTATCCTTATCCCTTATTTTTCTTTTGCTTCTGGGCAATATCTAGAACTGATTTTCACCTAGTCTGTAGGTATTATCTTTTAACATAGCTTAATTCAGGAGCCATTTTGTCATCTTTGGTTATTCTAAATGTTTTAACTCCTAATCTTACCTTTGTTTCTTCCCTATATCTTTCAGATCCAGGTGAACTTGAGAGAATTAGAGGCAGCTGCCTGGTTTAGTCATGATGAAGTGGCCACAGCCCTGAGGAGGAATGGCCCCTATATTCAGCAAAAGAATGAGACTTTTCCCCCATTTTGGCTGCCTCCCAAAATAGCCATTGCCCACCAACTGATTAAGGAGTGGGTAGAAAAACAGAACTGTCCTCTGCCTGCTTACCCAGATCAAGTCATCTAGATCCCTCCTTGGTATCCCTGAGGGGTCAAACCAGGGATCAGTTGACCAAGGGGAAATGACAAAGACAGGCCAACTTCATAAGGCAGAGCAGAAGGTGAGCCTACAGTGGGACACTTCTATCAGTACTGTCCATGAAAGAGGTTCCTGCTGATGGACAATCCAAACTGCCACTGTGAGAAGAAAAACAGATGAGATATCAACTGCCACAATTAGAGGGGTGGCTGGGTGTGGTGGCCTATAATCCTAGCACTTTGGGGGGTTGAGGCAGGAGGATTGCTTGAGCCCAGGAGTTAGAGGTTGCTGTGAGCTAGGCTAAGGCCATATGATACTCTAGCCTTTGCTAGAGTGTATAGTGAGATGCTATAAAAAAAAAAAAAAAACAACAGAGAGAAAGGTAAATCATCACTTTGGATATAGGTCATTGTTTGCCCATTTTTTTCTAATGCCTCGGAAACAAATAGCTTCTGGCATGTGGCTTGTTAATGCTGTGTTTATGACAACTGCCGAAACACGTCTAGTGTAATTTTGGTCAAAACTTAGCATTGAAAATACATAGCAAATTTTGGCTCAGCACCTGTAGCACAATGGTTAGGGCACCAGCCACATACACTGAGGCTGGTGGGTTCAAACCTGGCCCAGGCCAGCTAACCAACAATGACAACTGCAACAAAAAAATAGCCGGGCATTGTGGTGGGTGCCTGTAGTCTCAGCTACTTGGGAGGCTGAGGCAAGAGAATTGCTTAAGCCCAGGAGTTAAAGGTTGCTGTGAGCTGTTAGGCCACAGCACTCTATTGAGGGTAAAGCTGTGACACCATGTCTCAAAAAAAAAAAAAGAAAAAGAAAAAGAAAATATATAGCAAATTTTACATCACTACTGAGTTACTTTTTATCCCCACAGAATTAAGAAATATAACACAATGTAACATTTTTGAATTCATGCACAGGTATATTCTTGTATGTGGCAGTTAAATAAAAGTCATATTTAAGTCGTTTGAAAGAATGGGGAAAGGTCTCGCTAAGTTAGATTACCTCAAAGTACTTTGCAGTAAATCAGATGCAGTGAGGCTCTGTTGAGGTAGTAGGATCCTAGTGGGACTCAAGATGGTAAATTTATTTTTGCTGTTTTCAGATCTGTTACTCAATTTTTGACTTCAGGAAAAGACTGTCACTTTGTCATGCCTGTTTTCCTAAGTGTAAAACAGTTGCTGACATTTGCACACCCACCAAGGGTTGATTGACTTTAACAAAGAGATTATAGAAGATATACATAAATGCTAAATCTGAACTATTTCTTCAAATTTATGGGATAAACTAAATTTAGGCTTTCTTATCATTCATATATGGCATTCTAGACTTTGTCATAAGAGAGATGAGTTTATTTGGGGGAAATAAAATAAATTTCCACACCTTTGTTTGGATGTATTTTTCTGTTCTATGAATAAGAAAATTTTAGGAAATGAGAACTTGGGTGTGAGGGAGAGGATCTTTTAAGTCCAGGTTCCAAGTACGTGGAACCACTGAAGTAATGTGCAGAAGAGTTACTGTTAGAGGTCTGCTTAAAAAGAGGAAAAGCTGGGGAAAGAACTTTATGCATTGATTTGTGATTAAAGACACAGCCCTAGAGACCCTAGTTATTCACACATCAAAGTCTCACAGGGCCAACCAGAAGACATTCTAGAACTAGAAAAGTTAAAAGCACTGAATTTCCTCTTGACCCAAAGGATTGTTGCTCTATCCATTGCCAGCAAACCATCAGTGCTTTGGGGAAATCAAATTGCCTTCATCCGGAAATGTTGAGAGATGGTGTTTGATGGGACTTGACTTTCTTGTTAGATTGGCAGCTTGCCTTTACCTGGGCTGAACCCGTTGTGCAGAAGAGAAAAGCACTCTCGAAAGAGAGGTCCTGAGATTTCTTCATATCTTGCAGTTAGAAGAAAACAGTTCAGGGTCCATGTGTATTACCATCTCCCAATCTTTTCTGTCTCTATGTGGGTGTGTTTGTGAGCACATGTGTACACATCCCCAATCTGAAAATACTGATAGAAAGGGGAGTGTGCTGGGTTCCTGGTTATGAGTTTCTCAAACTTACCATGGAGTAACTGTTTGCTTTTTGATTAATGTGTTTTTCTGGGAAAGAAAAGATGACAGTGGCTAATAGGAAGAGCTGTAACACTGAACTTTGTTTTCCAGCAGTGAGTGGGAAGAGGGCTTTGCTGTAGATATCCAAGGATATCTGAAAGCTAAGGCAGGAGAGGGCAGAGTTGGGGTACTGAAAATGGCAGATAAATAACAGTAACTTTGTTACAGGGCTTACCTGGCTGGAAAATATGTATGTGGTAATGAATTATGAATGTGCTAAGGATAAATAGAACCCAGCTAGGTCCATAACACAGAAGAATAAAAACAAGTAAAACTTTAAAACATATGTATTTGTTACTATGGAGCCTGACTAAAGGTCAGTTAACTCTGGTAACTTAAAAAAAAAAAAGCAACTTGGGTGGTGCCTGTGGCTCAGTGAGTAGGGTGCTGGCCCCATATACTGAGAGTGGTGGGTTTGAACCCAGCTCTGGCCAAACTGCAACAAAAAATAGC